GATGCCCAGACTTTTCATGCCACTCATGAAAGGAGCCAGAGTGCAGCGAGGCATGAGAGCTGCTGAGTTGACCTGGGGCTGCCAGCCTGGCAGCGACGCCTCTGTCCCCTACGTCAGCACTTCTTCTGCAGAGCAATATCCCCAGGCTTCAGGGAACGATGTGGTCTCCTCTGCAGAGCAACATCCCCAGGCTTCAGGGAACGATGTGGTGGGGCAAGACAGCTGGCACTGCCGTGGGCTCTCATCTCAGCAGCTCCAGCTAGTGGGTAGAGGCTGCTGTACCCTGGCTGCCCTGATCGGAGCCCTGATGGCTGTGCAGCCTCTTCCCACGGAGACAGGGTTTGTGGCTACAGCAATTTTGAGCTGCTTTGACCTGTGAAATAGAGACCTTTAGAAAAGCACAGTAGTTTATGCTCCTGGCTGCTAGCAGCCGTGGTGCTCCACTGCAGCTGGGAGGACTGTGCCCCACGAATGGGGATCCTCCATTCAGAGCTGGTCTGGTCCCCTCTTAACTGTGCTGGGCACACTGGGCTGGAGGCATTGCCCTGTGGGACTGGGGAAAAGATAAGTTCCATACAACACATGCCAGCTCTTGCTCCTTCACTATTTTCCAACTCCATCCAGGGTGCCACTGCCACCCCACAGTCTCTTTCCTCCCTGGTTTGAACCACCTCCTTCCCAGCTGTTCTTAGAGCTGCTCAGCACCAGTCTCACAATGTCCCATATTGCCAATCTGTTAGGAGGTTTTGGGCACAGTTTCTTACTTAAAGCCATGCTTTGGACAGGCCAGGACTGGAAAGGATGAACTACCCCCTCCCTGGCAGCCTCCACAGTAGCTCTGAGGGTGCGGAGTCTGGTATGGTGGGCACAGGGATCTTGTTTGATTTTCCCTTACCCTGCCAGGCTCTTGATCCAGCCCAGGTCTGGCATCCCTGTCTCAGGGCAGAGCTGCTGTGGGAGTGGATTCAGGCTGGGGGTCAGAAGTCTGTGCCCCCACATGTGTGCAAGTGTGTGTATGTGTGTGTGTGTGCACACTCAGGAGTGTGTCCCTTGGGGTTTGCACAGCACATTAAAGCTATTCCCTTATCTAATCATGGCTCAGGTGAGTGCTATTAGGGTTATACATTAACAGTAGTAACGATACCCTCTCCCCATGCAGCCACTGGCCCTGCCTTGATCCCAAAGTCGAAACCATTCCCACTGGCCCCATGGATGGCTCCATTTGTCTGCCTGAGAACTTCTGTTGCCTGGTCTTTTGGGGACAAGCAGGAAGGGCTGTAAATGCATAGCAGGGCTGGAAGGGGCTAGCAACTGTGCTAGGAGACATCACCAACACCCTCTCTGCACCCTGTGTGCCCCATCCACACTTCCTCCTGGGGCAGCAGCCCCAGCTCCAGGCTATCCCAGCCATGGGACAGGCTAATCCACCTTTGCCAAGCTTGGCTGGAAATGTGGGGGCAGCTCCATCCCTCTGCTGGGCAGTGCTCCCTTCTGCAGCACCAGGGTTTCCCCATCGGCATGAGGTCTCCCCATAAGGACCTGTGCTGGCTCATCCCGAATTTCCTCTTTCCTTTCACAGAGCCATAAAAACTCTCCAGGAGAGAGTTAAGTGTAACCCTGCATTCATATTCAAGGTAGCTGAATTATTCATTGTCAACAGTATTTCTTGCGAATCCTTTTCTTTTCCTTGTGAATCACCCACAGTACATCCCCGAATTCAGCAAACATCCGAAAACAGCAATTAGTCGAGATGAATAACTTTCTATCTCTGGCTTGGTCGTGAACCCTCTGCTTTGAGTCTTTTCTAGCTGATATTGGGCAGCAAGAGCCTGGTGCCCAGCTCACCCAGTGATGGCTCTGCCAGCCCTGAGGCAAGGCACAGCCTCCATCCAGGATGAACAATGAAGAGGGAATAACAAAGAACAAGCTGTGATGGATCTATTTACAGCTGCAGCAGGAAATAATAATTC